GGGAGGCATGGGCAGGGGGCCGGGCTGAGATGACAGTGAGGTGGGGAGCAGAACGCGTACCCTGAGGGACAGAGCTCTGGGCCCAGGTTGAGGGCTTCACCTTGGAATCAAGAGGCAAATGGAGCCTCTGGTGGTCCAGAGCCCCTGGTGACCCTTCACCCCTGGGATGGAATCAGGAAGGTCAAGGCCTGGGCTTACCACCAGGTGTCCCCCTGCTGCCTTCCACGGGCTGCCGCCTATCCAGCTGAGGCTGGGCGGAGGGCGTCTCGACCTCAGTCATGGATTTTGTGGATTTTGCGGTGGGTGGAGGGGAGCTTTGGGGAAGGAGTGACTGAGGATCAAGACACGGGAGAACACGGGACCGAGGTTGACTCCTGCCCAGTCCTCACCTCTAAGGACGCCCCGAAACTGGGACAGAGGCATCTACTTGGGGCTTCATAGTCACTTTATAAACTGGCACTTAGCCTCAGGAATGATAGGATTTGGCCATTCATCTCCCGCCCAACAAACTCCATGCTTTAAAACAGTGGCATCCCGCCCGGGGGCCAGCAGTTGGGGGCAGGGAGATGCTGAAAGAGATGCTAAGGGAGACACTGACGCTTGGGGAAGAAGAGGGAGCCTCTCCTCCCCGTATCCGTCGGTCTAGGGGATTGCCCAGTGGGAGGGGGCCTGGGAGGAGGAGCCTGGACGGTGGGTCACTAGCCAACTGCAGCACACGGAGGTCGGAGGGACCTGGCGTTGGAGCCCTTCAGGGACAGCCCTGTTGTGGGCCCTCGCAGCCTTCCCGCCTTCTTGTCCTTGGGCTCTGTGCCCAGGCCCTGCCATCAGCACCTGCTCCCTGAGCCAGCGCCTGGCAGGCACAGCCATGAGATCATGGGGTGGGGTAAGCTGGCAGGTTCCTGATCTTCACTGGAGCCGTGGCAGGTGCATGTTGGAGCCCTGGGCCCGGCGCCTCCGTAATCTCCCTCCTGGCCTCATCCCCTTGCAGGGAGGCGGCTTCTCCCAACAGCCAGGGTAGTCTCGTCCGCCTCTGTCCTCAGACTCCAACAGAGGCGGAACACTGGCTTGTGCCTTGTCATGAAGGCTTGAGGTTAGACTCCAAGAAGGACTTCCCATTCAAGAGCCGGGCAAGTGGGACAAGGGAAGGAGTTCAAATTCAGGACGCGTGTCAGCAATAAGTGTAGCACTCTTCATTCGGGGCTCATTCTGCGCTTGTTTGGGGGCTCTTGTGCTATGTGCTTTGTGGGCAGCACTGTGGCCTTCACCATGACACCGTAGGACCTGGAAACTCAGGCCACAGCTTTCACCACCAGTCAGTGAAGGAGCTGGTACTTGCACTCAAGTCTCCGACCTTCTGATAAATCACAAGCATCCAGGGAGCGGGGCTCCCGAGGGCTCATTCATTCTTCACTGAGCGTTCAGGGGTGAGTGAGACGGGGTTCTCGAGGGCAAGACTGGGAGGTCAGACAGGCAGGAAAGGTAAGAGGTGAGTGCACATTCCAGAGGGTGGAAGTCAGCCACGCAGAGGTGGGTGGGCCTGTTTCTGTTTGGCGCCTCTTGAGTCAGAAAGGAAGCAAATGCATCAGAATTGCAGCTCTAGGGAGCAGGGCGAGGCAGCGAGATCTTTGGCTTCCAGAGCTCCCTGTCATCGGCACACGGGGGACATGTTCTCTGGACAGTGGAAGAAGTCGGAAGGGCTCAGTTTGGAGGTGGGGAGATGGGCGACCTGACATGGGGGTCTTAGTGCAGATGCTTGTGTGTGTGTGTGTGTGTGTGTGTGTGTGTGTACATGCATGCGCATGTCCGCAGTCTCTAGTGATGCGCCTGCTGTCCCTGCTGACTCGGAGCCCTCCAGTGGCATCTCTTCTACCGCAGACACTCAAGGAAGAGCGTTCTGGAACGTAGTCTGTACTTGGGTGCAGCGCTGTCTTGACTGGGGACCATTCTTGTTCCCCAAATGTCCTCCAGCTTATTCTAGTCCTGATACCCCCTCCCTTACTCCCAGGAAGTTTTCTCTGTCCCTTCGTCAACGATCCCCATTTTCTTCCCCTCTCCTAAGGATAAACTGGGGTCCAGGCTTTTAGCTACTGGTGGGCAGAGCACCCAATTCCGCCTTGACTCATTCACCCCTCTGTTCCAGGACTGGACTCACTGTGGGGAGCCCAGACATGCTTAGAGCACGGATTCATTCATGGAGAAGGGGGATACAGGGACAGCTCCCGGTGTGTAGCTGGGACCAGCCCTCCGGTGTGTCCTTTCAGGTGCCATGTTGGCTGCTGGCTCCTGCCTGAGCTTGGTGTCCAAATCTGTGCCCCACGTCAGTGAGTCTGGGGTTAGATCCTGTGTTTTGAGGCCCAGTGGCAACACGCACAGTCCGAATCCTAGGATGACTGGGCCTGGTGGGACTCTGGAGACCACCAAGGCTCATCAGTCTTTCATTTACAGAGAAGGCATCTCCCAGAGAGGGAAGGGCCTTGTCCAACATCACAGAGTCGTTTGTGAGACACATTGGGTGTCCTGGCCCCCATGCCACTACTCTTGCCACCATGTCACATTGCCTTCTTAATTTTGACACACCTTACTCTACCTCTCTCTCTCTTTTAAAGCTTTTTTAAAAAGTCTATTTATTTATTTTGAAAAAGAGGAAGAGAGAGAGAGAGCATGAGTGCATGTGTATGTGCATGCCAGGAGGGGAGAGGCAGAGAGAGAGAGAGAGAGAGAGAGAGAGAGAGAGAGAGAAGAATCCCCAGCAGGCTCTGCACTGTCAGCACGGAGCCCCATGTGGGGCTCGATCTCATGAACCGTGAGATCATGACCTGAGCAGAAATCAAGAGTCAGATGTTTAACGGACTGGGCCTCCCAGACGCTCTCTCTCCCTCTCTTTTTTCTCTTGCCCTTATACTTTTCTTACACTGTTCTCTCTAAAGTTAGCCCATCTGTCTCCTGCCATTCCTCAAGGCCTGGCCTGGTCCCCTCCACTCTGGAAGTCACCTGATCTCTCTCCTCTACTTTCTTCTGCCCCATTAGCAGCACGTCCTGCTAATTCCCATTCCTTAATTGTCTGTAACACAAATTAATGCTTTATTACTTGATGCTGTAATGACCTGGGTTCTAAGCAACCGTGTGACCTTGGGCTAGTTACTTAGCCTTCTTAATCCTCTGTTTTCTCATCTGTAAAATGGGGCAGGCATTTGAGCTTGCGTGAATAGCGGAAGCAAGCTTGGGGGGCTCGACTTGGAAAAAGTCCAGATATAAATCGGAGGTGTGGTGGGTGTGGGCGGGGTGACGGCGGAAAGGCAGGCAGGGGCCAGGTTGTGGGGCACCTCGGCTGGGATAGGTTATGCTATTGGCAGTGAGGAGTCCTTGAGGCTTTTCTGGACCCCCTCCCCATCACCTAGAGTTTGGGGTGGCCATGAATTGGGGTGGATGGAAGCACAGAGGCTTTGGAGTTGGCAGACGTAGATTTGAATTTCGGCCCTCCCACTGGTTAGCTGTGTGATGCCTAACCAGGGTGATTGCTAGAGCTCTCTCAGCTTCCTTTTCCAATCTGCAAAAATAAGGAGGATGCCTACACCATAGACTTGTGGGAAAGAGTAGGTGCAAAAACATCTATAAATCGCTTAGCGTGGAGTCTTGTACTTAGTAAGTGCTTAATGAGAAGTAGCCATTAGAACTGTGGGCTGTCGTCATCCAACAGCACCCGTCTGCCCGCATCTTGGCCTGGCTTTGTCGCTGGGTCTGTCTGGGCGCAGGGTGACGGGCTCATTCCTCATTTGCCAGCCAGGAAGCTTCCCAAGGGTGGGGCCTGCGTGCATCATCTCCCTGCTCTGGCGGCTCCAGGGAGTGAAGTGGGGGAGAGCTCTTGAGAACAAGGTGATGTTGCCCTTTGGAGCCCCTGGGGGGGCTCTGCAGAGGCCCAGAGACCTGCCGGCAGGTGGTGGGAGGGGAGTCTCAGGCGGTCTCGGCCACCCACCATAGTGTCCCAGAGGATCGAGGCGTGCAGGGAGCTTTGCGTTGATGAGGTGTGCACCCAACTTTCTCATTGTCCAGCCAACTGTCCCGGGCATAGACCTCAGGGCCTCCGGCACTGCAGTGGGCCTGTGAGGAGGGGCAGGCTTAGTGCCCAGAGAGGAAGCATGGGAGGGGGGAGGGCAAGAGGAAAGTGGCTGCCGGTTACCCCACCCCCCTGAGCATCTCCTTGGCCTGCGCTGGTGGAGAGGGGCGCCACACACACCATCATTGAAACAGAGTCTAACCATTATTACACAAAACTTATAAAACACCTACTAAGTGCTGAGCAGTGTGCCAGGGGCTGAGGACAATCGTTTGGCAAAGATTGGGTGGGTCCTGCCTGCATAGAGCGGGACTCAGAAAGGCATTCAGAGGGGGAGCACGGCGGGCTACAGGACCTGTGAAGGCTGCCCTCGAACCCCCCAGAATGGTGATGTGAGGCTGTGTGGAGTAAGGCTTAGCGGAGCCCTGCAGACTGAGCTGGGGGACCTGAAAGTATTTGTGTGGCTGGAGGGCCCTGGGGGGAGTTGGGCCGGGAGTGGGTAGAGATGAGGCCAGAAAGTGACCCAGCAGTCTTGGCGACCACACTGAGGAGTGTGTACTGTGTCTCAAGGGTAGGTGGGAGCCACTGAAGGCTTTTTAGGCCGGGGAGAGCTGTGGTCAGATGCAGGGTCTGCAGTGCTACGGGAATGGGGAAGGATGGGGTGATCCGACTTCTGGTTTCAGGGAGGGAGGATTGAGGAGCGGGTATGGATCTGGGGGCGGGGCTGAGCCAGGCTCTGACCCTGAGGCAGGGAGCCAGAGCTGGAGGAAGAGCAGGCCAGGGTCCCCACCATGGCCTTGGCTCTATCACCTCTCCCCTGTAAGCCTCAAAGGCTGGTTTGTTCCACAGGCCCTTAGATAAGACAGGTCGCTTCTCAAAACCTCAGTGTTCTCATCTGAGACATGGAGAGTGGGGCAACTTTCTCCCTGCCACTTGGAGTAGCCGATTAAGAACACGCTTTCTCTACCTGGGCCTGGTTCCAGGGCACAGAAACCGGAAGGGGAAGAGCCCATGGACATACAGGCCTCCGCTAGCCACACAATGGCTGGGGGTGGGCTCTGGGCATGCTCACTAAGCTCTCGGAGTGCCCTGGGAGGGGCCGGGGGCACGTCCAAAGTGAAAAGCAGTGGACGCGGTCCTGGCTGAGACCTCCTTCTCTCCTCTGCGGCCTCAACTGCTCTCTCATTACCCAGGCCCCCAGGGCTGGGAGGATGGGGAAGATGGGGTGACAGTTTAGGCACAAAGGGGTGAGAAACCTGGACTCGCCTAGCTCTGAAAGTCTCCAAATCTTTGCAATTTACTGCTCGTCTTCTGACTCCGCAGAAGCAGAAACCGGAGGGAAGGGACCCACCCAGAGCAGACCAATGGTGTTCGGACGATAAGAAGAACTTCCAGCTCCATCTCAGGGGTCCCTGCTTTCTCCCCACCCCGGGGGAGCCGTTGAGTGAGTGAGGTCGAGAGATGCCCTGACCCAGTGCCCCCGCCTCTGCCCTCCTGGGGCACCGGCCACCCGTGTTTCCTTGGAGGTTGTCCTCACATGGGCCTGGGGCGGAGTGCAGCCCCTGGGGGATGCTGCTGGCGGGGCGAGGTGGACGGTGGTCTTGTCTGACTAGCCCAGGAGAGGGGAAAGGGAGGCCTGCCAGGATGGCTCCTGGTTCTGGAAAAGGCACTCTCTCAGGCTCCTCGTGCCATCTCTGCGAATCCTCTTTCCACTTTTCTTCTTCCTCTTCTCTCCCACAGCCCTCCTTACTCCTCTCTCTGGTTTCCTTTCTAGCTCCCTCTATTTCGCTCTTCTTCCCCTTATCCTTCCCCTGGCTCCTCCGTCCCCTCCACACCTCCTCCTCTTCCCTTTCTCATCTCCTCCTTGTTCCCCCGGGCTCAATTCCACTCACTTGCCCCCCCCCCCCCCTTCCCGAGTTCAAGCTGTCTATTCCTTTCTCTTGGAGCCCCCTGCCCATCTTGGCAGGAGGTCATCCCAGATAACGCAGGGAATCAGGCTGTCTTCTCTCCAGAATGTCCCCCTTCTCCTGAAGACTAGCAGGCCGCCTGCAGCCCCACGGTG